GAATCGAGTAATTAACTAGTTGACGTGAATACTTTGCATAATTAAACGTAGCCAAATATCAATCCAACAAATAATCACAACTCTAAAGCAATAAATATTCCGCCGATCGCTCAAAGCGATTGACAAAACAACCACTCGATGTCCAAGTAACAAATAAAACTTCTCACGTTCCCTTATTATTGGTTAGCTGATTATTCATCAAATTCACTGAAGCAGCAGTCAGATAACTTCAATATCATATGATACAATCGATAGATTCGCTTTCTGATCGAAAGAATGATTGAAAGTCAAATATATAATCTGTTTTCATGCAGCATTCACTTCCCAAGTGATTCTGTTGCTAAGCAAAGAGGAAGTTGATGGTTGTACCAATGTAATTCTGTTGACTGAACCAGAAGTGGAAATCTTTTCCAGAGTTATGCGACAGTTGGTTGGGTGTTCTGCTGCGAATCGGTTTCAGTGAAATTTCGTTCATTCATTCCTGTGGTCGGAACATTTGCATGGGTTTCTGGTATAATGTTGGTCGGTATCCTTCGAGTATTCATCAGTAATTGGCGGTGGTTATATTTTGCTGTCTCTCTTCCTGGACTTCTCACGTACTCTTATTATTGGTTAGCTGATTAATCATCAAATTCGTTTGCTGACACAGCAGTCAGACACCTTCTTATACTTAACGAACTGCCGTTGCTAAAGAGAAAAAAATTTGTCATTAGTTGTCCTACTTCGTTTTGGAGATGATTGTTAAGTGAACTGAAATTCATATCATTGCACTCCTCAATGGTTCCTCTTTTAGCAATCAATGTGACCTTCACAATTAGCTTATTCATTGTCAAAAAATTAAAAAACCTGTACAGAAAAATGTGCTGATAAGTTACTGAGTGTACAAATGAAGTTTTCAGGTTACTACCAGAGTCTCTACATTGGATGATAACACACAATAGAAGCAAGCAAGTTTCAAGGTGATGCATATGTTTAAAATGTTCATTTCGACGAACACATTTTATTACTTCATCCATTACTTCATCCACATTACATGTTTCCATTCAGGAATATTAATTACTTCCTAATGTGAGCATCACTAAAATGTATACATAGATATACATATACATAGATCTATATACATAGAATTTTGGTTCAGAATGATCTATTAGAGAGAGTAACTCATGTTGTTCATTCGATTGTTATTCAAAGATTATCGATTTAAAATTTGTAAAATATTTTATCACTACTTGAAAAGTGATTCAACAAACGTAACCCATATGTCCAAAACTAATGATTAAAAACGAATCATGTCTTAATCCTCATTTGTTATTTTAAATTCTGACACTATTCTTCTCAGTTACATTGCATCATTCAGACGTCTCTCGGACTTGAATTTTTCATTTCTCAGCAACAAGTGGAGAGAGTGAAGTCTGAAGTCTGTTGGGAATTTATTTTTTAACAGTATTGTAGCTTCAAAATCGATAAAGTTATTGAACGAAATTCAGGTACATTGAAAAATCATCAACTTTCAACCACAAAACTATCTCAATACCTGACTGCAAATCGAGTACAACAAAGCTGAACGAAGGAAATTCAAGAACTTTCATCGATATGGTCAAAAATAAGGCAATCGTATTCCATCTGACCATTCATTGTCTTATTATGTGAGTTTTCGGTTGAATAAATTCTGAAGCAGAGTAGTTTTAGTTATCTGAGATATAGATCTGTGGACGTTATGGGGATGGAAAATAGTTGGATCGCATTCGAAGGAAGAAAGGAACGATGCATCGATGTAAACATGAAAGGATTGATGGAACTGCTGGTGTTTGAGGGTGATAACCACAGTGATCACTAAGATCCGATACCATCGTGCTTACGTGATAGATGNGTATGGTTATGAATACGACGTATTGGGGTTTGGCGTTATTCAGTACTAAATTGAGTGACGACAGCTATACGGGTTATTTCCTTTCTGGTTTAGTCGAAATACCGGCTGGTTTGTTGTGTATACCGTTGTTGCTCAAATTTGGTCGTCGAACAATTACATTCTGGTGTCTTGCTTTACAAGGTGTTTCAATGGGAGCTGCGATTTTATATCCAGGTTTTTTTAAACCGTATTCAACTCGATTCTTCCAGTAACATTAACTATAGCCTGCAGTGTTTCATTCAAAATATGGCTCAAGAGCGTTTGTAAGAAATTTATCGATATATAGCGAACAATTACTGACTTATGGCGGTTCTCGAGAAACTGAGCAAAACCTATAGCTCAGCTACAGCGTATGTTCGTTATTCCTTTGTGTAGATAGTCAACTCTTTAAGCGTAAATCCGATTCATTCGGTCAATCTGCTCAGTCATTACTAAATCAATCGCTGTTGTCGATCCTAAATCAGAGTGTATGTAGAAGAATTCATGTGCAATAACTCAAGACGATAATCAAATAATAAAGGTCCTGGAACGATTGAGATGATATTTCCTGTGGTAGCAAAACTTTTCAACAGTATCCTCTGGACATCAGAACCATTGCTGTTAGCCGAAATGAGTCCAACGTCAATTCGAGATATCTTTTATGGTCTTGTCACATTTTTCGGTGAATTCGGCTCTGTACTTGCACCATACTTGGAATTACTGGTCAGTAAAAGTGAAACGTTATGTTGAATTCCACTTTCTGCATATCCCTAATTAAACCTAACGTCCACATCTTCGGTAAAAGTTGGAAGAATAATTGAACAAACTGCAGAAAGACATCGACGAGCGTGCTCCCCAAACAGTGGTGGCGATTCTTTCGGCTGGTGCATCAATGTTAGTTTTAACGGCACCTGAAACGAAGAACAAACCAATGCCCGAGGACTTGGATCAGTTTGACATCGGCTGTCTTCTGAGGCGTTTTGCATGCTGCAGACAAACACCGAAAGATAACAACGAATACGGTATTCAAACCCTGCCCGAAACCGAGGTAAGATTTGTTGGAACAGAATACCGAAGTTGATTTATTCGCAGATCATTTACTCACTCTATGGAGATACATTGAATATACACGAAAGATAAGCACATAATTAAATATACACCTCCAAAATAAACACAAAAGTTGCACAATAGGTTGCAACGCAAAAAAAGTTGCACGTTTGCAAATCTCGTCAGAATCAAAGTTGATTAAGTACATGATGAGTGGTAAACAACAGCGAAATAGCTATTCAGTTTATGAATGCTCTTCCGAATCACTGCTGTTGTGAACGGAAAAGGTGACCGGGGATACTTGGTGCTTTCAGAACAATTCTAAGAACTATCAACAAGTGTTTCATCTATGGATTAATAGAATAAGATTTTGTTTCAGTCAAACATCATGTTGCCGGCAGTGAACGAGCAGTGTTGAACGTTTAACAGACGCATTCAGCAATCATTAAAACAGTGATCAATAAAACTTATCAACAGTTTTCAATGAGGGAATGCTTTAATCAAACAGACATAATTTATTCTTTAAATAAAGCATATTTTAGAATTCAGCATACATCGAAATAACCAATAAATCCTTCAAATTTCTGTTGCATTCTATTTGAGCGATTGAGGCTTACTCGAGCCTTTCAGAACAATTCGAAACGTCATCATCAGAAAAAATTCTCAAAGAACAATCACTGAATCGATCAAATCCCTTCATTGATTTTATCCATCTAAGATCTCGTTAACTGCAATAAAATTATTTCGAAACATCCAATATCATTGTCGTGAGTCATCAGCTAGACAATAACACGCGTCATGGTTCATCATCAACAGCCCTTTGGCGGTTGTAATGAAACGAAGAATGACGTACAAATTTGGTAGTGAATTGTTAGAGATGGAAAGGATGCAGTAAACATATTATGTTAACGAATATCGCATAGGACTTTTGACTATCCCTACATCTTTTGAGCTTATTGCAACTCGCCATTACTATTACTCGACTAAGAACGACACCTTAGATAAGTTGCAGTTCAAACAATATAAAACGATATTAAACAATGTGCCCGTTCAGCGGTATTTGTCTTCACCTAGGATGTCGCCAAAAAGTATCGCGGAATAATATATAACATTAATCGATGTTCGATTCGTTCAGTAGCATTCACTTTCTTCCAAGATTTCGGTAAATTGCAGTAACAATGCATATTGGGATCAAGAATACCTCCCGAACAAACAAATTTGTGCAAAAAAGAAAAACATGAAAGACAGAAAAATCGAACTGAATAGCATCTAAATGATTTAAAAAGTGAATAAAATTCTGACATAGAATAGAGATGAGTAAAACAAGGTTGAATAACGTCAATGTTAAAGTGAGGTGATGCTCACTGTCAGCAATCCAAACAGCTATAAATTTGCATCATCGAAAAAATTTGTAATATTTGTTTGGTTGTCATGTGCTGTTGACGGTGGCTTGTTGATATCAGTACGATGTACATTCGACGACCCAGCTGTGTCTTTTTTTACACTGCAACAATTCAAGATTTACGAATTGGTAAAATCCCAAACAGCAAGAAGTACACAAAGACCATTTGGAACACTGATAAAAAGACAGGTGCACCATGTTCAAGGAGGTCAACAGAACTAATGAAACCTTTACACGGCCGTATAATTAATCTTCTGAAGAGCTGTACACAATTCACTGTTTCGAGGTAGTCGTGAATGGCAAACAGATTTTGAATGTTAATCACGAATGTTAATTAGAAACTGCCAACCTTTATAATTTGATAAACATTGAAATGAGCACTCTTTTTCGAAAAGTTACGAATATCAGCGAATTTCTGTCGAAGCCTTCAGCTTTTAAGTCTAAGTGAACTCACTTACAACACAATACTAGAAAAGTATCAATTCACTAACTTTCTTGTTCGTTTCGGTTTTGCTGCTACATTACTGCAAACCTTCCTCTTCTGTGGTGACTTCATTTGGTTACCTTAAACAGAACAACGACCATCATTGGTGCAAGTGTGATTTTGCATTTTGATTAACACCCACATATAACGGCTGAATCTGGCTCTAATTGTAAACAGGCGAAACTTGCAGATGAATCTTTAAAAAACCAATATAGTTTATCAAAACCAAAATCACTGGGCAAAATTGTGCTTTGAAAGGTTAAATTCAACATTCACATGATTTGCCGATTGATACAATACGGTTTTACGGTTTATGTTCAACATTTCAACAGTAACTCTTCAATAGAGAGCAAAAGTATTTCAATTCCAATGAATAAACATACAACTTCTAGTAGGACTGGAATCGATCACAAGCACTCTTCGCACGGCAGCGCATTGACCGTTGTTCGATTGTGAAGTTGATGCAACAGCCTTTATTGGTAAAATGCAACTTTTGTATTAAACAAAAATAAAGTTAAAGGCTGACTCTTCAAAGAGGTTTGTTTCAGAGAACAAGATGATGCTAATTGCTACCAAAACGATTCAACGTATCAGTCAGCTGCACATGGACACCATGTCGGTATCAAACACTCCTGCGACTGAAGCTGACACTATGCGTGATAAAACCATACAAATGCAATACATGAGATTGTGTGCTCTTAGCATTCTCTATGACTCTCTTCATGACTAAAATATTTGACGACTGAAATCATAATTCTCATTGAGATAGCGATTGAATTAAAACTGAAAAATACCTCTTGAACAATCTTCGTTCGAATCACACCTCCAAAAACTAATTTATTTTGTCCTGATATCATCGGTTTAATTCTCGAAGGAAGATTCGCTGAAACACAAGGACCTTCTCGCGACGGATTCAAGTCTTCAGCTGCTTTGTTTGTATTCAGCAACTCTTCATAATTGTCTTGTCGTTCACCTTCCTCTTTCGTCGTGATAGCATTGGTTTGTGGTGCAGCTGAAAGTAAGAATCAGATCATGGAAGGTTAAAAAGTTCTGAAAAATCACATTCTGCACACTTCAATAATCCACGTTAGCAAAGGTTATTGCTAGAACTGAGATTCGTATCGAGATAAGTAAGCGAGAAACAATTGATTTGAACTTATTTACTGTTCCACTTTGCTCCATTTGAAAATGTCGACCTCATGGGATAAATCTTTCAATAAGGAAATAACGTACCATTATTTAACTTATCAGTCGTCGTTGTTTTGCACTGATTTGTTGAATTCGTTATTGAATTAACTCGTTTACTGATCTTATCGCATAGATTATTTATTTCTGAATATGAAGCAGCTATTGAATTGTCACTGTTCGAATCAACTTGCTTGGTGACAAGCGTTTTTGAATCCAATAATGCATCGAGTATTTTTTGCGCAGCTGGAATCACCTCTTCAAGCTTTTTCTGCAGTTCTGCACGATCCTCTCGCACTTTTTCATTGTCTTTTTTCCACTCGGCCAATTTCTCTTGAATCAGTTAATAATTGATAAATAAGTTATCTGAACAAGAATTATTGCCCTATAATTACAACTACAGTGTGATTTTGAACCGTTTTTTGTAACACCCATTGCGTAAATGATAAAAACCTCCATCGCGCTAATTATTCACGACAGAAACACGAAAATTGTAATTTCTCGAAATATCCGTTTTGCTCCAATCAACAGTGAAAGCATATGCCAACGGGTATCGAAATACTGATTATCACACCATCGAATATGTATAGAAAGCAGCGAATAGTACAACTCGTTCGGTTCAAGCAAAGATTTACCTTTCAAATGTAAAATTTCGTTGCTCATTGCATCACGCAAACCTTCCGTATCACCATCAACGCTCCCAGCAGAACTGGTCATAATCGTCTGCACTTTAGTACTGATCACATCCATATCATTAGCTAGTTGACGAACCCTTCGCAGACACTCCTCATTACTGCAATATCGTTTAATTTGTTAAATATTAATGGTGGGTGGAACACTCATCGGTACACTTTCAACCATAATGAGAGGGAACGACCAAGAAGAAAGTGAAAATTATTTGAATGAGCTGAAATTATTTGAGTAACCAACCAATAGGGCCCACCTTCATGCTACTGAAAAATAATCCAAGGCTAATGATACCAGCATACGTTCATGAATACATATTCTAATTAAGTAATGAAAAATTAGTTGTAAATTTTCCAGCAAACCTTTTTTCGATGTTAGACTCGGTGTTCACGTCATTATCACCATCATCATAACAGTTGAAAGTGTTTGGCCGTCTTCCGAGAGCGGTTTCACTTAATCAGAAAAAAACGAATAGTGAGCGATGGAACGAACCAACGCATGTAAATTGTCATTTTGGATTCTGTTTTAAATTGCGAGCGAATAAAACGGTTGAATGCGAGTAGAAACTGTTTCATTTGGACATTATTTCCACGCTCCACATTCGCTCGTTTTCAATCCACCGAAGCAAAAAAATTCTTTATTTGACCACTCATATGAGTTGGGCCTAAGCCCCCCCCCCTCTCAGTGGCATTACACAATATTTAGTATTTTGCCATAATGATCGTAAGTTAGGGAAATGTTATGCGTTTTTTTCGTTAAATCATCCGAAAAATGTTACCTCAAAGAATAAATCTTTTCTTCCAGCATTGCAAGTGCTTCCTCCTTCACACTAATCGCCTTCATTAATTTCAAATTCGTCATCTTCAGTTCATTGTTTTTATGATTCAGTTCGCTAGACGACTGCCTTTAAACATTTCATTGATAAAGTATTTACTTACTTTTCCAATTCTATATCGAGTGCGATAAAAAAGCCGATGGCGTAGCGAACAACAGCATATGCTTCCAGCTTCTGAGGGAATTAATGAATTCTTTTGGTAAGTGAATAGATGAAAAAGGAAAACGTAACGATGCTGCATAACAGGAAGGGTGACATTTTTCCCAGGACGCTAAGTGACAAATTAGAATGCCAGAAATTAGCGAAAGTGTCTTGGAAGAAAGGAGTGACGGTTTGCCGCATGAGCAAAAGAGTGCACCAAGTGGAATGTGGTAAGATGCTCTATTGTGAATAATATCAATCACTTACTCAGCTTCACGATTCTTCTCTTTTAGAGAATTCAACTCTTCCTTCAACCGATCAATCTCAACCTGTTGTTGATGATTGATATTTAGAGCCTCACCTTCCCTTTCACGCATCGCACTGAAACGAATATTCATTGAACTTTTTTGAGTCTCTAGAAAACATCATGTCAGAAAAATCTTCAGTAGCCGGAAGTAAGAAACATTTAAAATTTTTTTCTGGATCCTTTGCTCTGTAGCCCGAACAGAGTAGAGGAAATATAGGGCTGGAGCCGGAGCATTACGCAATGAGGGCCCAGAGCTGAAATTTCGAAAATGTTTGCCCGGAGCCAAAAATTGAAAATCTGGAACTGGAGCCGACGCCGAATTTTCGAAAACGGGAGTCGGAGCTAGAGCTACAGCCGAAATTTTCCGTGTCAATAAACCAAGCTTATATGCTAAAAATGATCTAAAAATAAGGCAAATTCAGTGGCCAACGTAAACAATTTAGGATACAAAAAAATCGCTATTGAATTATTACAAGCAATAAAGTTATATCATATCAACTTCATTTTCCTAAAATTAACTTCTTGCTCCCTTGTTATTTATTATCACATTATTTATTGCCCGTTACTACTTCATTATCCATTTATTATTTATTAACTTATATTATTACGCATTTCGAATTACTATTACTTCCTTCTGGGATTATTGCGAAAGAAGTCACAACATATCCGTATGATTTCACTGCAATCTACCATGATCTTTCTGGATTTAAGAATATAGTATAGAACATAGTAATAGGTTCCTAACATCCATTCTATTTGCATTTCCTCGTACTTATCCAATTTGGCCTCATAAGATTGACGTATTCGTCGCAGTTTTTCTGCATATCGCTTCATTTCGGCGATGACGATTGGCTTTAATTCCTCAGTTATTTCTCTGCAATTAGGAAACTTCTCTGAAAAATTAAGAAATTTCCCTGAAAGATTAATACAAATGTCTGCAATTTTTATAAATGAACTAATTTTTCAGCTACAGTGGTCTAACTAGTTGTTTTCAAGGAAGCCTTCGATTCGAAGACAAAGAGCTTTAAAATGAGTTTGACTGCGTGTTTCTCAGTATTGTCTGAATGATAAGATTAAAATAATTAGCTATAAAGTAACCGTTACGCAGTACTCATAAAATTGGATGTTGATGTGCATAGGTAAGATTACTGCATATAAGGTAATATTAAGCGTGTGAACTGTACGCAAGCTTACTTTGTGAGTGTTAATGTTGTCGGTTCGGTTGAAATTCTACCGTTTTCAGTTGTTTTTGATGTTGACTTATCAGTTTCTTCAGTTGTTCCGTTTGTGGACCGGTTAGCGCTTGCTGATTCATCGCTTCTTGCCGGCGTTTCATTTTTTATTACGACGCTATTTAGGTTTGAATTGTCGATCGCTCCAGGGAGTTCCCTCCCAGATAAGTGAAAATCATTCAGTTGTGAACTGTTGGTGCTTGTTGGTGTTCCATCCTTTGACAAGCTAACCCTTTTGCTACCTGATTTATCGCTTCCTCTCGGCGTTACAAGTTTCGACGAGTTAGCGCTTCTCGATCCTGACTTATTGCTTGTTTTTGATATTGTACTCTCAGGCGTTCCACTGCCAGTTTGCTCAACAGTTTTCAGTTTCGATTTATTCATTTCTGTGGAAATTACACATTCGGAGTGATTTGTATTGTTGGTCTCTGAACTGTTCATTTTTTCAGGTATTTCATTTTCTATTTCCTTCGTAATATCTTCTTGACACATGACTTCGCCTAAAATTAGTTACGCTCGTCCACCCGAGTTATTTAGTTACGTGAATATGCACGCTTCTCAAGTGAAAAATCCAATGGCAAACTTTATTGCATATCAAAATTATCACATGTCGTAATGAAAATTACGATTCATCAATAGAACATCAAAAGCGATTGACTGAAATGAATTTCGAACACATACGGATAAGGCCCTTAAATATAAGGACTGTAAAATTATCGTCTCAGGTTAGCAGTCATCATTCCAAAGAAAAGGCAAATTGAGGAATCAGTCAAAATACACTTGAAAAATGAAACAAAAAGAGTTGCTGGAAAGCGCTACCCTTCGGAATTATAATATGATCCAACGTACAAGTTAGAAGTAATAAACTAACTGAAGAAAGAATCATAGCGTTTTTACATATGTCTGCTTGAGGCATTTGTCATCCTCAGGCAAGCAAGATAAATCCCTGCAGTCTTAAATGAGGCGTTCGAAAGATATACGACTCGAATAAACTGGATGTTTTTAACGTTTGAAAATTTGCTAGTTTCAATAAATTCTCAGAGTGATACGACCCTCAGAGACAATTTTGTGAGATATACTTCTTTTTATAATGCCTCAAACATGTTTTTATTCCAGCTGATATTGTTCATAGATGCGCCTCTGATTACAATTTATTCCTCACAACTCCCCGCACCTTTTCAACGTCTTGAACTACATCGACATGTTTGCATTATGAGCATAAGAAGGAAACTTATCATCGAAAATGATCTCGTAAACAGAAATAAAAGCGTTCTGCTACTCCAACATATTTATCGGTACNTAGTGCTCTGGCGCGTGCACCTCCTCACCGTTCCCCACCAAGGATGCATTAGTGCCTATTTATCTAATTATTTAACGACTGCTTCGATTTGCAAAACTGATCATTGTGCACAGAAATGCGACGCATATTTACATTAGCATTAGCACACCGCTAAGCAGTAAACCCAACAGTTCTATTTCAATTCATTCACTCAGCTAATACTATACGTTTGTGTTTTCAGCAAATTTGCTTATTAAGGTTTTATTGTTGTGAAATTTTCAAGAACCGTTCATATAAAACCACTGTAAATGTACACAAACAAGTAGGTATAATACATCCATGATCCAAATAAGCATCAAAATCCTTCATCCCATCCAGAGAATTCCTCTGGTGCTTCGTCCTCTTCAGGTGGATATTCGTCGAAGTTTGAACAATCAGTTGCACTCGTTATCAGTGGCAATATCGGTGGATTCAACGATCCTGCTCTGAGGCCATCCCAGTCAAAGCCGCTGAACCACCTGAAATTGGGCGCTTTCAATGCCAGGATGAGCAACAACTGTGCGCATCACCTGATGATAATTAGGAACTGAATTACAAATGAATTGTGTTGAATCAACGCAATAATGCAGCCAAAACATACTTATGCTTTCGAATGTCATTGATACCTCCACTTCCTGAACCGAGACGATCGCTCGGATTATCTTTGCATAATTTTTTGACCATCGACGCAGCAGCTTTACTCACTCGTTTATTCGGAATATCCAAACCTCGAATGCCTTTCAAAATCAACGTGTACGTTTTCATTGGATCAGATGCCTGAAAACTTCATGTCAGTCTCAACATCGGCATCAACATTTAGTCAGTAAACTGCTTGATACCATTTCCTATCACACCGCCTTACGAGAATCTTTCGGAACACAAATGGTTTTTTCTTGAAACTTGATCTCGTTTTTAATCACTCAAAGCCGACTGAAACATCAAAGAGTCAAACCTGGAATGGCGGTCTACCCAGTACAAGTTCGCACACATATATGCCAAGTGCCCAGTAATCCACAGCAAGATCGTGCCCTCTGTTAAGAATAATCTCTGGCGCAACGTATTCTGGTGTTCCACAGAATGTCCACGTCTTTTTACCTTTCTCCAACTTCTTTGCGAATCCGAGATCAACCTGTTTCAAAAGCGAATAACGCACCTTCTTTCACTTCTGGCACTTTTTTACTTCGGGGGGGGGGGGNCGTACAACTATAGACACACGCTCGCACGCCACGAACGACGCTTTCACATGGACCGAGGCCACGCCTACTGCGCATGGCCTGAGCCTAAGCGTAGTCTCAACTTAAGCCTAAGCCTGAATTTGCTTGCCAGACCCCGTTGTGACATCGAGTGATCTGAGGCTACGCTTAGATGGGGCTGAAGTCACATTTAGGCTGAGGCCATGCGCAATAGGCGTGGCATCGGCTGTCATACGCGAGCGTGCTCGCATGCGACCCCCCCCCCACAAAGTAAGTAAAATGTCATGTTTTGTTCAACACACTGTGACAATTGTTACTGGAATGATATTCCGCGTACTTTCACCTGCATAGAGTCTTTTTAGATATTGAAGAGACAAATAAACGGTGAAATACGGACCAGTTTCAGATATCCTCTAGAGTCAAGCATGCAGTTCTCTGGTTTCAGATCTCGATAAACCGTATTCCTGCGATGCAGGTAATCAAACGCCTCAACAACACAAGCCACATAGAAACGGGCCGATTCATCGTCAAAATATTTATGGGAACGCATTATAGTCCATAGTTCGCCACCGAGGCACACTTCCATCAACATATAAACATTTCTTGTGTCACGGAATGTCCTATGCATCCTAAAGAAACACATCACTTTCGCAATATATGATAACATAACCAGGATTATCTTCGTGTGATAACATCAACCATTCAAATACGCTAAACTTTAATTGCTTAAATCATTTTCTGTTCATCACCAACATCTCTAGCCATTGCCGTTTCAAACATTTAGCTATTATGGAGCACACGCTGCAGTGAGCTTAGAAGAGCGCATTGTTTGTTGTTTATAAACTAAATTAATCATTAACGAGCAACTGATTTGAAGATCGCTCAGAGAAGGTAATTCAGCTGCGTTCTCACCTGACAATGAAATTCGATCGAGTTGCCAGCATAATATTTCTTTCTGCGAATATATGATCTTGTTGGTGAGTGTCAACGATGTGCTTTTTTCGAATGGTTTTCAGTGCGTACGTCCTCGTTTCATCGCCATTAATACAAACCTTGAATGTTAAACAGTAATGCACTTCAGTCATTATGTCTTATCACTGCACTCCATATGTAAAAGTATATCGCACAGAGAATCAAGATGTGGTAATGATAATCACCAAATCAACTCGTCCGAAACCTCCAACGCCAAGTGTAAATATTCGATCCAGTTGACTCAACTTAATATCTTTAAATTCATCTGCTATTTGTTCGCTTCCCTTTCTCGCCAATACGACTGAATCATATCGACCACTGAAAACAGAACAAATTATCGGAAGTTCTTTTCAAAATTAATTCTTCATAATACACCCTGCTTATGAACATTTTTCCACTGTCATATGCATAATTTGCACTGCTAAAATGTAACTTCACACGTCGCATTAGCGTTTGACATTTTTCAAGCTGACTCGACCATTGTATTCCCACCGATTAACCGTTGTTTGGTCTTACAGCCGGTCTTCGTGGATCTGGTGGACCCGTAGCATTTTAGGGTTTTTAATGCCTCACAATCAAACACTTTTATGTTAAATTACTCAATAGATGTTTACTTCATCCCAATTACAAGCAGCAGTGTTGAGCGCGCTATCGCTATTCTGCTATCGAAAAAAAGTCCGCTATCGCTACCGCTATTACTCTCCGAATCAATAGCGGAGCGCTATCGCTATCGCTATTGCCTACTCTAAAACTTCATTACGCCGCTGAATGATTGAAAATTTTCATTGAAGAACACGCATTTCTGAAATGAATACGAGAAACATTATAAAAATAGAATCCACCTCCACATCTGAACCAACAACTAAAGAATCAAGCACAACATCTGAACTCACTACTACAGAATCCACCTCAAAATTTGAACCAGCCAATACAGAATCCAACTCCACACCTGAACCGACTACTACACATGTTTTTTCCTTCAAATCGCTCACAAGAGCTCGATAGATTCCAATTTAGTGCAGTGTTACAGCACAAATATGTATTTAGATACCTCAATAACTGAGGGACTATACCAGTGGTTCTCATAAGGGTTGAAATTACCCAGTTTTTCAGGGACATTGGTGCACCGAAAACTTCTTTCCCAGCTTTCGCATCCCACAGGGATTCTGTTGATTCCCCTTTGGACCTGAAAACTCCATCAAGGATAAGAAGCCCGAAGTAGGCCTGTAAATGGGTTTGTTCCATTTCCTTCCATCTCTCTCCGAAGACACGTCTTCTTTCTAAATTAGTGCAATTCTGCATGGAATCTGCGATGAAAAGCTCAAAAGAAGACTTATGTCCTGTGTGTGAGTAACTGCCATCCGTGTTGCATCCTTACCACATTGGCAGCCTTGCGGGTGGCTCTTTTCTTGGGCGAGAAGACAATTTCATTTTTTGACATCCATATTTCCTCATTTGCTCCATGCTGGCTGTCTTGTTCTGGTGCTGGGGCTGGCTGCTGACGGCCTGGTTCTGTGGCTCGTCTTAGTTTCGTAACTAGCTGATGCTCAATCTCATCATTTTCTTCAGAGTCACTATCATACTCTGAATTTTCAGAAGTGTGATCTTCAAATTCTCAAATCTCTTCTTCTGAATCCCCTCCTTCTACATCATCATCAAAAACATCGCTCTGTTCCAAAATCAATTCCAGGGCCTTCTGCGCAGACCGCCGTTTGTCCATCTTGATTGATTGTGATGAGAAACCTCACTGGTGCACAAACACACCCACACGCGCGTACACATATACACTATCAGCAGGCTTGAGAGGAGGAGGACAGAGTTTAGATACACAGAACATCAATTTCCATACTTCTATTAGCCATAGTCCAGTGGACTCGAAGACATTATATTTAAAACAAATGTGTAGGGGTTGTACGGTGTGTGCTCATCAAAGATTTATTCTGATCTATGTTATTCACAGAAAATGAGCCAAGGCCACTGAATTTGAGTTTGAAAAATTAATCAATTGTATCATTTTTCTTTAAATAAAGAACGAAAATGGGTCCCACAGACCCGAAGACCACACAAGGGTTAGGTGACTCCCATCAGTTTTTGTTACATCTATTCACTATCATGTTGAGTGTTACTGTATTTCGCAGTTGATTACGAGTTAACGATAAGCTCATTGAACATCATCAGTACTTTTAATCTACAACCAATAAAAAGTAACTAATAAATAATTACGCATGAGATGGTGGCGGTGCACTATCAACGTAATGTTTGTTGAACGTATCCAAATGTCCAATAAGCCTCGTGAATGAATCGCGATCAAGCGTCAGCACTTCTACTCCAGGATCCATTGCTATCACATTGGCAGTACGCACCTGGAAACTGTACAGTAGATCGAAGGCGTCATTTGATCAATAAATTCATTTCTCAAGCAAGCGATTTTGAACAAATACCATTTTAAGTGGTGATCAGTGAAGAATTTTCGATCTGTTCGGATAATCTTTTTCAGTCGGGATGAGGTATAAATACATCAGTCGCCTCAATCGACTTTTTTCTTCAAAAGTCTTGCATATTCAGAAATTAGTATTATGTATGTGGAACAAATCAGTTCCTTTTTCAGTGCGAACCCTTGAATGATGACGGTTAGTTTGATTAGGAATCAGACAAAAAAGCGAAAAAGTTATGATCAACATTTCGGAACAAGCATTTTTCTATCATGACTTTGTTGCTGAAGGCAGACTATTAAGATACTATCGTAAAGATGAAATGCTCAGTCCGTTACTGACTATGAGCATTTTATCTTTGTCATCTCATTAACAATAAGATCGGACATTTCTTAAATGCTCCATTTTAAATCTCAAATGAGTATTTCATTTCATCTCATTAAGATCCTGAATAATTATTACACTGTCCTATTAATGAGAGGCTCAATAAAAATTATTCATTATATGTTATTACACTGTCCTATTCACAGTTACAGTTTCAGTCACTTTCTTCTCCTATCACCCTCCACTGTATCAATTCACATTGGTTGTGATTCAAAAATCATCTACTATTTTGAAGTGTAGTCTGCATGCATTATCTATACTTAGGAATATCTAAGACTAACCTAAGCTAGTTTTAAGGACAGTAACGAGTCATTCAGGCACGGATCAGTGGAAGTTTTACAACCAGTTCGTGATAACCATTTAAGCAAAAGCAACAAAATGACAATTAGTCTTTAGTACCTCTTCTCCAAGCAGTGCTTTTTCACCAAAGTAATCGCCTTTCGAAAGAACACGTAGCTGTCGTGCTTCTGGTTCACCATCAAAATGTCTTGTAACACGTACTTGACCACTATTGATTATGAAGAATGCATCACCCTAAATCATAACACTGCACTCAGCATTCGATCAATTTCTTGATCTGTAATGTCACGCGGATGTTTCATTTCTCAACTTCATCCGATATTTGAAGGTTTGCGTGTAAGCAATTATTTGTGAAGAACTAACAGTTTCTCTTGGATTATTCTATAAAATATAATACCCTTTCGCCCTGTCGAATTATATAGCTTCCAGCTGCATAATAGTCTTGATCGAATGCATCAGCCATCTTGGATATCTTGTCTTCACCCAACGATTTCACTAGTGAAACCTTAAGCAAAATTTTTGGAGAAACTCTCATTTCACTACATCATTTATAAACTTCCCTTGAATTCTAGTTCAATCTTTTTGAGTGAAGAGTTTCACAGTATTTCTGGATTACTGTTCGTTGTTTATGGTTTACGTGATGAAATCATTTAATCCATAACTGAGGTAAGTGAATGTCGTGAAGTATAGAAAAGTTAGAAGGTGGCTTTAGTGATTGCCTTGCTGCCGCTTTTCAAGAAGAGTTGGGTCGGTGGCCGCCGACCGGTTTCTGGGGACCGCCGAAATTCGACGGCCCCGAAACTCGACGAAACCCGAGACCGAAAATGACAAATCGATCGGTAGCCTCGACCAACCGAATTTCTGTGTGATCGAAACCCAACGGTGCTCAAAATTTGCCTTGTCCGTTGCCACCGAATTTCGGTGACCACCGTAAAAGTCTTTTGGTTCCCAATTTTGATTTCAAGGTACTCTGCGTGTGAATGCTCATTATTATTCGAGGTTTTCAACTACAAGTGTGCATATGCTATCGGTTTAAGTGCTCTTTGGCTATGTTACGCAGCTTTGCATGCGAGAAAAAGTATCGCCAGACGAGCGATGATTAGCAGTTAAATGTTGAGATAACGAGTTGATACGCAGAAGAAACCTTATGCAGGAAAGCCATCATCTCTGAATGTCGCTCCATTCCAATTTTCATGGTTATCGACTTGTAAATATCTCGTTCCAGTACCCATAATGTAACATCGGTCAACGCTTGCACTGATGCTGTTCTACAAGATGTTTCGACATATAATAATGCTTATTGAATAAATCCTTGTCATCATGCTATCAACCTTTCAACCGTTTAAACTCTCCACTTTACACTTTTCTAATCCCAATAATGCAAAAATACCAACCAAACTTGGAGGCTTCACCGTCAGAAATGCTCTCCGCAAAAGATGCAATGATATTATATTGCTAGATATAGGAGACGCTATAAACGTACCTTTGGCAATTGTAGAGAATGGCCAATTCACCAATAACAACTGGTGGTGTAAGCACCGATAGTTTAACACCACCTTTAGAGATACGCACTTGACCATCTGCAAACATTCACACCTTTACACAGTAAAGGGAAAGAGCCAAATCGAGCATTGAACTGTTTCTTTGAAGCTTCATACTTAAAACGTGTTTGAAAATTGAAAACTTCGATGTAGAAGAGTGATTTTTTCTTCGGAGACGAAAAAACTCTTTTTTGGTTCCCTCAAAAGTACTAGTACAGCATTTAGTCGCCGAAGCTAGATGGTATGCGATAGTTTTTTTTTTCTGGAGTCGAAACCAAATTTTGTAAATATGGAGCCGGAGCTGGCGTGCAGTCGGAAACACGGAGTTAGTATAAGGTGATTTCTTTCCAATTAGGCATCACTGATGCAGAGTTCGTGCGATCAATGATATTTCTTAAGAGGAGAATGGCTAACAATCTTGGCAATAATAACTGAGTGCTGTATAATTGTTTTACCCGCAACAACAAAGAGACGATATCCTGGTTCTCCTTCACGAATAATCCATTGACCCATCTCAACGCGTTTCTCGTACATACACTCCACCAATTCAATTACTTGCTCTTTAGCCAAAAAACGCAGAAAATCGTTCTTCTGTACTGCAGCACGAATCAGTTGTTTCGATCTGAAATGTTCTTCAGATCATTACCGAAGTATTTCATTCAATTCGACGTCAGAAAACGTTTATCGCTGTCCTCTCATGAAACGAAGTGATGGTTGAGGTACAGCATCCGTGAATGCATAAAGGAATTGTTTCTTTTATGTTGCATTATACAGTTTTCATCAACTGTGTTCCAATTTCAGGGTTCCAATTTCAAGGCGAACTTGAGCACACATAATTTCGAAATAATACTAGTATTTTCTTATAAAAACACATCATCAGTCTACACGGAGATGAAACGTGTGAAGCAGTGCTCCCTCCTCTTTGGGTGGGAAATTTCACAGAGAGCGACTTTAGTGGTGGGTTTGGAAAATAATTCTTAATTGATTTTTTTCCTAATTCTTACTTCATTTTTCAACAGTGCTTTCAAAATGATTTCCCTGACCAGGTGCGAATGATACCAATGAAAAATTCTTAGCGGCAAACGTTTTGAGCAATGGGTCAATTTCCTGATCTTTTCCCGAGTTGTTGCTAACTGTACGATGTAAGGTGTTGCTAGAGTGGGACGGAGATTGTGCTTGCTCAGATTTTCGGAGGGAGATGCTGGTCTGCAGTACTTTCAAAAGGGCATGCAGCACGAAAGCTCGACAATCACCGTTTAAGATGATCAAAAGTTTGCGTAATCGTTTTGTGGCTGAGAGTTTTCTTGATCTTGTATGCTAGCGTAGCGCATTGCATGGATGGTGATCTTCTACATCTCAGTGTTCACTTACCCTGCTGACTTAGGATAATGTTTGAGAACAATCTTCTTCTGGACGGCCGCAGTTGGTTCAGCAGAAACGGCCAATTTCTTTGGACGTTGCGGCGGCGACTTAACTGCACTAGATGGCACATTCATCTCGTATAAAACTGCCGCCTGACCTCCGACCCGTTCCGTCCATTCCTGAAAGTAATTGCATGGGAAATATGCAAGCATTTGCTCAGTCTGCAACTGATACTTGTGCGTTGATTAGTCCACAGATATGTCAATAATGGTAGATATTATAGCTATGCGACTGCCGCTATCCTTATCAAAAAATTTGATCATTGTTTCCTTCACGGTCGTATCGAATTGTTTTCATAGTTTCTTTATCTAGTACATACTTTCTGTTTTCGTTCTATAGAAAAAAGTGCGACTGTACTGAAGCAAACACGATTTTATCTTTAAAGATTGAGCAGTGATTGTCTGAAAATAATCGTTTTGCATTTTTCAAATGATGGTTCATAGAAGTTTTCCGTCCGCAAATTGGTTCCACTTGTAAATCGCCATACGATAAAAATGTTCTGATGAACAAACTGAAACAAAGTAACAGTGCAAGTGTGCACTAACTGTGAGTGGTTATTTCAAAATTGATTAAATGAGTCAATATTCAACTAACACTGCCATCGGAGTCATTGGAATCTCTGGATGATTTCTGCGTTAGAACACATCGTAATTTATCACATTCTGTCTGAAATATTGCATTCGTTAGAGATGGTGCAATAGAAAATATGACCTTGGATCAGCAGCGCTAAATAACTTAATGAGCACAAAATATTAGAGATTTCTGATTTCCCAATTATTTACAAGTCAAAATCTTCTTTTGAACATAGTTTCAAGTCGCCCGCAATAAGAAACTATAAATCGAAACAAAATTTCGACTCATGCTGACGGTTTTGGGCTTGATTCACATGCAAGGGATCATAAAATTTCGAAAAAAAAGCTTCTGAATATTCACAAAATTTGTTTTGGTATGTCATAAAATCGCCTGAATGAGCAATACACCGAAAATAACTCGCATAGCATACAAGCACAGGTGTTATTTTCAAAGCAGACAACCTTGTAGAGTTCCACATTAGCCTCCAGTTCAGCGATTCGTCTCTGTTGGGCTTCAATAGCTTCTTTTTGTCGTTTAATATCGTCATCTTTTCGTTGAACAGCGATTTCGAGACGAGGAATCAACTGTTGAATTTCGGATATATCATAAGTGCGTGTGCCAATTTTTATCTGTAATTTTGCGCTGACGTAAACCCAACGCTGAGTCAAGCGACAGTGATTCAGAGGTTTTAAAGAAAATGCATTACTGCGGACTCTACGTATGCCTTCGTTGCACGGAACTTCATTTTAAGTAACTGATGCGCTTTTTAAAATTTTCATCCTTTCAGGAAAACTTATTGATTTCTTTCATCTCAAAAAAAAAAGAACATCGTCATCGGAGGTTATAAGATGAGACTCGTTAACACAGCGCATATGACGTCGTATGTTTTTGTTCCATTATCTGTGGAGTGGCCTTTAATTGCTGTTGTACTTACACAATGATTGTTAATTTTAACATCCTTATTGATCGTAAATGCATAGCAGACAAAATTGAACAAAAGTGAGTACGTAATGAAGTAAACTTTTTTGGGAACAGCTTCTGAACGATTTGTGTCATAAGAAAGTGAATCCATTAGATAAATGCACACAGAAGCAAATGCAGACATGGTCATTTGTCTTGGCAACACAAACTATTCAGACTTTTTCAAGATCATTAATTCTTTGAACGCAAGCAAGCATGAGGATTTGAAATCGTCAGCAACAATCAATCATCCGATCGGTTTCGAAGAATTCGTTATCTGTTTTGGTGGCTATTCGTTTCCTTTGAGTTTCAATGATTTTGAGCTGTTGTTTTTTTTGGTTTCATTTAAAATGCTAAGGTCATTGCCATGCATAATGCAAGTATACCTTGGGTTACGTCTTTTGAGTTAAGTCGTTCTCAGTTACAAGTCTTTTGTCAAAAAATATTTATGAGGATAAAAATTGAGTTTAATTCATTTTATTCCACTTCACGTCTGTCTGCCACAAATAGTGGATCATAATATCATTAGAAAAGCGTTAAAAGCACATAAAACCATGTTACGAATGTCATAAATGATATGGAAATGTCATTTAGCCTAGTGACAAGTGAATTCGGAGACAAGTAGATTCGACTTAAGTCGCCGCTCATGGAAACAATTACCGACGTGAGGTGAGGTATACCTATCGTTTGTCCTCCTTAATCCATTTAAATCTCGCAACTTCGCTTGAATGTTTTTCATAATTCAGTATCATGATTGAATCGTCAGCCACAATCAATCATTTAGTGAGTTCCTGTCGAACAACATTCAGTCCATCCAGTTAGGAATCTAGTTGATATTTGAAAGTTCTGAGAGGAGTTGAATGTTTGAAGACACTACTGGTGAGCTCATAATTTCAAAACAACGCTTCTTCGAGAAGAAGTTTCAGTCCAGCGGAGAATTGCACAGGAAGTGATCGAATTGTATCACATAACAATGATCTTTTGCGATCTCATAAGCTTGAAAAATTATGTGCACAACCAATCATGCGCTTCATGAACCGCTAAAATTTTACAAAAAAAAAAACGCTCACTGTCAGTGCAACCGTATATTGTATTGTTGCTCGAGCGTTTTCGGTTGTTTTTTGCATTCGAGGCAATACATAATAAAGCGATTATTCAATCGTACAAAAAATCGCTAAAAGTGCGAATACGTTTATTTTTAATACGTTTATATTTTGCACTTTGAAATTAGTTTCGTATCTGTGAAATTTTTTGATGCAAATTAGTGATAGAATTAAAAATTGTCGAACGGAAAGTAGTGATCTTCCAACAGCTAAACAACTTATTGACTGAATACTTGCTTTCTGTTTATTGAAGAAAAAATCATCTGGAAACTTCTTCCATTAAAACATTTCATTGTTCCACTTACGATGATGTGTATTGACCCGTGCAAGGAAAATCATATCGCATACGGTCTCAATTTTTGAGTGACTTTTGAAGAATGTGAAAAAGCAGTGAAATCGTCGAAAAAAATCAATAGAATGTAAATGACCTTTGTTCGAAATTTTCTCAAAAACTGATCAACAACAGAAAGTGAGCAATGCGACTGCTGCTTACTTAATAACATGCTTCATGATGTGATAATAATTGAGACAATAATCCGAGTCTCTTGTGATAGCTTGACATATTTGAAACAGTGGCAACCTCCGATGATTACTGTTTGAACGTGATCTAGTCTGAATAATACTTCACTGTCCCACTCTCAACTAGCGCTGATGTGTGTAAAAATTTGATTTTGAATCGGTGAGAGAATGTTTTCTGTTTAAACAACATTTTGCTAACGCATTCGTTCGTTTATACATTCACTGTTTTCAATATAAAGTGTTCGCTTTTTTAAGGTAACATTCATCCTCAATTTTGAGATTTTTTTAATTGTTGTTCGATTTTCGTGTATCTTTTATCGAACTTACGAACAGAACTCATCCAACATAATGTTCTGTTGCTTCGGAAATCTCTTCAAGACGAAAGCGAGAGATTAGAACTAATCCGAGCCGTTGGTTTTACTTTGGTCATAATTTTGCGAGAAATGAATTTCTCACAAAAGTCTGATCAAAGTGTGTGAATTGATAATGAAAGTATGGTTGGGTTTGATGACACAAAGAAAATGGTGCGTTTTTAAAGCGCATTGGACGAGCACTTTGCAGAAATTGTCTTCATTGACTTTAGTGAAATTGGAACTTATATTTCAAACTGAGACTGATGCAAGTACGCTTATTTTGAAACGTGAAAAAAGTTAAAGGAATGGTACNCATCTTCTTTCGCTTGATTCCAGCACATACACATTACTTGAGACATTCACGAGGAAATAAAAAGAGACACGAATTTTCGTGGATAATGCGAATATGAACGTAGACTGGGGAACGCAGGATGAACAAAGACATCAAGCAACTGTCAACAACTTTAACAAACTTGTAGAAATGTAGACATGATTTCTGGAATCGATATTCTCAGAAAAAGAATATGAAGTATAGCAATACTGAAATGAATGTGCTCATGAATGGTCATCAGTGACAGAAAAATAGTAACTTCTGCGGACGTTGTGGTTTTTTAAATAAAAATTTTCACATTGCAATAACATTCATTGTCATCAGAACAATTTCAGAAGTGAATTTCTTTTCAAGATTAGCCAAGAAAAGAACAATAGCCATTGATGAATAAGCGAATGGAGGCTAATCTTAAGTACTTGTATTATACGACACTTGGCAACAATTTGAGTACGCTCCTAACAATAAGTGTATTCCTCAGCACTGACTAAAACATAATCATCAGTCCAAAAACGAAACGTCTTTTGAAGTGTGCACTTCAAACAGATAACATCAACGCTCATTGTGTTTGACGGGAAGTGAAGTGTTTTTATTCAAGCATCACCTTCTTTATCAATCGCACGACAATCATGTTTACAAATATTATTTACGATAATCTTCAGATGACCAGTGGATTATTTCGGATGGATCATTATGATCAGTCACGGATAATGAATGTGGTGAGTAAAAGAACCAATTCGAATTAACAAGTTTATCAGTTTATTGTCTGTTTTAGACGTTTAAAACTACCTGAGAAT